CTTGTACTGTGATCTTTCTATACCTGCACTTGCTTGTTTACCTTTATATATGATCTTGCATGTGAACTGGCCTTGTGGCCTTGAACTTGTGCTCGGAATGTGTGGTGACGTTGTGATCCACCCTGAGCTTGCTTTGCTTTGCTTGACTGGTCTTGTGACCTCTTGTTCTCCCCCACTTTGCCTATGGGGGTGTGTCAAACTTATATGCTATAGTCTGTGTAGGCTGTAGTGGGGTAGACAATATGGGGTACAACACTTTTAGGTTTTCCTACTTGTACCCACCATCTTTCCTAGTGCATTCACTCCTTGTTCTTTCACACTTTTTGGGCCAAACTTTTTTGGGATGTATAGAAACAGTGATGACCAACGATCATGGAATCAAGGCGATGTTCGGCTGCCACAGGGGATCGACCGAGGGATGGGGGGAGGGATCAGATTTGCAGCTAGGGTTTCTAGTTCGTGGTGGTCAGCTCGGAGTCAACCGTCGTTGACTCCAAGTCTGGAGTCCAGGCGGAAGCGGAAAGTTTGGGGGAAAAGGCGCGGAGGAGCGACTCGGGAAATGGGGGCCCACGAAACTGCAGCCGCGCGAAATGAAACTTCGCGAGCTGAACAGTTTTCCCGAATTTACTGTTGCGATTTGTTTGGGTAGCTTGCTCTACTTGAATTCTGTACACCATAAATTAATACGATTCGACCTTAGTTAATTTTGGCGAGTTCGTTTCGAATCTTTGTGTTTAGCATTATAATTTCAATGTCCGGGTTATTTGTTTTTTAGAGTGTGGAGTAAATGTATATACGAAGATTGTGGAAGGGGGCATGGATTTTTCATTCCCCGTGAGCTGAGACCACCCACGGGAATGCACTTTCCATGCCCTGAACACTAGGGCGGAGTTTTTCCGCCGTGGGGGGGAATTGGGGGGAGGACGCGGCGCGGGTTCAAGCCTAGCGCGGGGTTCGCGTCGCGTTTTAGGCTCACGTCCGACACTTTTTTCACAATTTTCATGTCTGACCGAAGTGTTCTGCCTGGTTCGAACAGATCGAACCAGGAGGCTCGGCGTTCTGATGCTCCATCCCATCCCCTCCCCCCATCCCCTGTGGCAGCCGAACATCGCCCAAACGAAGCACTGCTATCGTGGAAACAATCTCACGTCGCAATTTTGCGTAGACGGCAAGATTTCTTCCAGCGTCTTGTTGGTGAATATATCTGTCGCGACAAAATGGCACTTGTGACCTTTCCTCGTAGGCGTGGTAGAAACCTCCACCACCTGTAGGATGCTCCATCACGAAATATGGCAGATTCGTGAACTCGTAAAATATGACAAAGTAAAACTTCCTGAAATGCAACATGAGCAAGAGGAATCGAGCAGGTTCGCTGAATAAGCTTCGGAATTCCAAGGTAGTACCTTGCAAGGCCGTCCACGGATTACAATGAAGTCGTCCTTGCGAATACTGTCTGCCCGTATCTTGATCGTCGTCGATGCGCCAGCATCGGTCTCGTCAGACATGGCTGCTTTTGCCCTCTAAAGACACGGTGGGAGAGAACTTGTGGGAAGGAGTGAGTTGAGGATGGGATCGAGAATAAGGACGGAGTATGAATAAGTTATAGCTTCTGGGCAACAGCTTGATCAATTTATCACCAACCGCAGCAGCAGCAGCTTGTCGAGGGCGTGTCCCCAAAGAACATTTACATCTCAAAAAGGAAGAAGTAACCACAATTTTGCTATTCGCCACTCGCCAATTCTTTCGTCTGGACACGGAACCAGGCTGCACAAAAATATCTGACGCGATGCTCAACTTGAAATTCGAGGCCTTGTAGAATCTCGAGGCCCTGTCAGCTTTTTAAAATTCGGACGCTGTTCGCAGTGCTGTGTACGTACCTGGAACGTGTGTATTCCACGCACCCGTACGTGTTTTTTTACGTAAAACCGGGTCCTGAAACTGCTTCCAAACTTTCGGGACACGCCCTGATCAACAGGTTGATCTCTGCGCTCTCAAATGTCAAGATGTGATGAATGACGTGTACCACCGTCGGAGCGCATACCCGACCGACCTTGCCATATTCCCAATTCGTGGTTTTGCCAAACACCTGGTATCACCAACAGCCTCCTCGCCTAAGGTCGTATCTGGCTGTGAGTGGGCAAAAAATTATCACCATGCAAGTTAGCAGCGATTCGTCAACACACGGTCAAGAGACGATGCTGTGCGAAAAGGGCTTGCGAATCGGCTGCTCCTCGCCAATGCACGGTCAATTGTCTCGGCGTAGGAAACTGCGATACAAGGCGATCACACAAGACAGTGCACTTTTGGCAGGTTTGGGTTCGGACGTTTTTGTTTTGAACGGCTGGTAACCATGGTTTGAATAGTGGGAGTTGGGGGGCACAACAGACCTCCCCTTTCTCCTAGGACCACTAACTTGTGCGAGGTCCTTGGCATTTCCCAATCCAGAAGTGGCCTAGTACTTGTAAAACAGAGTAGCTGTGACTACTGGAAGGCTGGAAACTTGGCTGGACTTGGTTGGATGAGGAAAAACTTCACTATGATCAAGGTTATTCAAGCCCACTAAGGCACAACTTCTTAAGCATTACAAACATGCATATTGATAGCTCAAACTAGGCTGCTAGACAAGGCAACTTCCTTGGGAACTTGGGCACAATTCAGCTGCATGGACCTTGAGTGACTTTGAGAGCCACATGAGGTGCATGAATAAGAAAGGCCTGGAATTTTTTGTCAATCCGCCTTGCAATCCGTCAATTCGCCTTGCAATCCGTCAACCCACTTCACGATCATGTCTCGCCTCGCCAGTCCCTTGACGGCGAGTCTCACTCGCTCTCACGCACCTAGTGACCAGACTTTCGCGAAACCCTACCAAGACGTCGTTAGTGGGGTGCTGTCGTGGCGCGTGGATCTCCACCATCGCAACGGCGAATATGGTGCTTCCCATGGGCCTGTCGGACGGCGATATAAGCTCAGCACTCAATCGGCGCGGCCACGCACTCGCGCTGCCCGTGAGTACTGTCCAGCTGGTTAAGGCCAGAGAAAAAAACGAGGGACAACGTTTTGGGCTCAAGAACACGATTGATACCGAAGGAACGGGCTGGTTATTTTAGACCCGACACTTGTGCAGCAAGCATGGCACTCGGCCAAATATACTCATGCACGAACAGCTGGGTAGAAGATAACATAGTGCAGTTGAGGAAAAAACGGTGCGGTGGGGGAAAAGGTGGTGCAGGTGGGGGAAAAGGTGGTGCAGGTGGGGGAAAAGGTGGTGCAGGTGGGGGAAAAGGTGGTGTAGGTGGGGGAAAAGGCGGAGCGGGTTGAGGAAGAGATGGCGCAGCATGGAAAGGGGGAGCGTTGGGGGGAAAGGAGGGGGAGCAGGTGAGGGAGCACGTGAGCAACGTGCCGGACAAGAATCATGGCCCGCTGACACGAGCGGTAGCAGCCCGCGCTTAAACGCATGTGGGGACAGAGTAGCCTTCCTGCCACGTAGAGCGGAGTTGGTTGAGCTTGTGGCTGCCTCAAGTCCTCCAAGAGTCCACGTAGCCAGATTGCCTCCCTTGCTCCTTCGGTCATTGCCATGTACTCAGCTTCGGTTGTCGAAAGCGCCACACAACTTTGTTTGTGTGATTGCCAGGAAACTGCGGCACCGCACACGAGGAAGATGTAGCCGCCGGTGGACGGTGATGGAAAGCGGGATCTGGTACTTGAGTGCTAAATGGCTAAGCGGGATCTGGTAATTGAGTGCGGATCTGGTACTTGAGTTCTCCCGCTTTCCATTTGGCTTTGCTTGTTAATGACCTCGTCCGGGCCGTTGAGTTCGGCAGTAACCACCGCCGCCAGCAGGAGCAGCAACAACATCAGCAGGAGGGGAAGGAGCAGGGACAGAGCTGAGGCAGCAACGGCAGGCTGGCAGCAGCGGCAGCAGCAACGATACACGCAAGCAGAGTGATGACGGCCATTGGGGCAGACCCTATCGTCGCTCTCACGGCCAACGCGTTGGACACACACCGTGTGCGGCATGGCAGGCAGCGCGCATGGAGGGAGGGGTTCATTGCCCAGCCCATCCCCGTGCTCGAGCTCGTATGTGCTCGCGCTCGTGCACTACAGGCCGCTGCCAGCAGGTGCAGCAGCGCAGGGACGGCACAGCAGCAGCAGCAGCAGCAGCAGCAGTAGCAGCAAGAGCAGCGGCAGCAGGAGCAGCAGCAGCAGCAGCAGTAGCATTGGGAGCTGCGGCAGCAGGCCGAGGAACCACAGATGCAGCAACAGTGTTCCCGGAATTGGCAGAGTGCTGCCAGCATCCCCACCAGCACTGCCCCAGCAGCAGCGGGTGCAGCAGTCTGTGGTGTGGAGCACCCACAGTGACCACCACGCCGTGACGCTTGAGAGAGCTCGCTGCTTGAGCTCACAGTTTTGACACCTTGGCCATGATGTGCCTGTGCCGCATACAAATTGTTTTGCTTTACTTATATATTGCTTCGTTTAGCCCATATAGCCCTAATTTGTTTTCTTGTAATCTTGTGTTGTGCTGGTAGGGCTATTTTCTGTCATATTTGCATAAACCCTAATTGTATAGAGCATGGATGACCAGCGAGAACAGGAATACATCTTCATCACTGCAACATGGAAGATACAAGCAAGATGCTCAGGGATGTGAGGGTGAGGGGGTGTATGGAATGTAAGGGATGGTGGGAGGGTGTGCGGGGGTTGAGGGGATGTGAGGGTGTGTGAGGGATGTGAAAGGAGGGCACCTGAGGGGGTGGAACAGGGCTGACAGGGGAAGACTTCGTGCCAGTGACGCGAAAGTCACAGGGGCCAGATGCTGGAGAAAATATTTTCAGTAACAGCAAGAATAAAATGTTTTTCTATCCTCTTAAAAAAAATAACGTTTTCTTGCATGTCTTCCTTCCATCACTGCACGCTCTTCCTCCCCTTCCTGTCCAATCTCTCTGCATCCACGTGGCTTGCAGCTGTTGACTCAGCAGTACTGGCAGCTGGCTGTCAACATGGCACTGCATGGAGCCGTCCTATTGGATGCGCACCACCTGGAGCTCACCCGGCAGCTGCTGCTCCAATTGCATCGTGACACGTCAGCAACCATCAGCGACTCTGAAACCCGCAAGGTGAGAGTTTTTGTGAGGGGCGTGTGAGTGTGAAGCAGGGGGTATGGGATGATACGTGTACGGCAAACGGTGTAAGAAGGTGGGACACCATATGACTCTCTCACTCCCTCCATCTCCCACCAATCCACCCCCTGCTAATCTGCTCATTCACCCCCTCCTCCCTCCTCCCCCCCCCCCCCTCTCCCTCCGCCCATGCCCCTGCAGGTGGCCTACAAGGCACTTGCTGCACAGCCCACTGCCCCCACCTCGCCCACTGCTGCACCATCCTTCTCCTCCTCCCACCTCCCGCCCCCCTCCTCCTCCCTTGCCATTGCCGCCTCTCTTCCCCTGTGGCCCGCCCTGCTCTCCGTCCTCTCCCCCCCCGCTGCTCAAGGGGAGCCACACGGGGCAGCAGGGGGGGGATGCGCGCAGACAGTAGGGGGGAGGGAGGGGGAGAGTGCGGGGGAGGTGGTGGGGCGGCTGGTGGAGGGGCTGAGGGGGAGGGCGGAGGGGGAGGGGGAACGGGTGCAGCAGGGGATGGAGCAGAGCGAGCGGCTGCTGGCACACATGTGAGTGGCGCTGGCACACATGTGAGTGGCGCTGGCACACATGTGAGTGGCGCTGGCACACATGTGAGTGGCGCTGGCAGGGGGGGTGTGAGGGACAGGGGTGTGTGAGGGGCAGGGGTGTGTGAGGCAGGGTGTGTGAGGGGTTACAGCAGTGGGAGGCGATACGCATTCAAAATTGATCTCACTCACTCATTGCACCGTCGGTTCGTCTTATTTCTCGTTCTGCACCCCGCTCTGCCCCTCTGTCTGTTCCCTCTCGTTCCCCCCCACGGGCCTCTGCTGCCCTGTGTGCCCCCGGGCCACACAGGGCGGGCATGCAGGCGGCCATGCTGGAGCTGCTCTCATCGCCGCATGCCACTCCCTCCACTGCCGCTCATGCCATGCCTCTGCACCTCTCGCCCCCTGTAAGCCTCTGCAGCACTGTGTGAGCCTCTGCACCCCCCTGTGGGCCTCTTTCCCCCTCAAACCCCCAACTATTCTTTCAAGTGGAGCCCTCCTCGCTGCTCCCTTGCCCCTCGCTTGCCCTTGAATCTCACAGCGAGGGCAGGTGGAAAGCCCACTGTGTGCCCTTGCATCCTCCTCTACTGCTCCTTGCTGCTCGCCTTAGTACCAGCATATCCACCATCACCCCAATCATACCATCCCTCCCCTGCCCTCACCTCCGCCCATTCCCAAGGCTCTCGTTGACGAGCGGTTGCGGGTGGAGCGCCAGCTCAGCGATGACGTGGCACCGGTGATTGACAGGCTGGCAGACGAGTGGCAGACAACCCAGAGGGTGAGCTGAGCTGTCACATCATGTGCTAGGCCATGCCTTGACCATGCTGGGCCATAATGTGAATGACCATCCTTTACTGGACCATGCTGAGTGCTTCTTGCTCTCTTCCTTCCTCCCATCCCCTCTCCCCTCCCCTCGTCCCTCCCGTCCCCCTCCCCTCACCCACATGTTACGCCTCAACATACAGCTTCATCCACACGCAATTGCTGCAGCCTCTTCTCATTCCCCTTCCCCCCACTCCCCACCGTCCCTCACTGCACCCCTTCGAAAGTGCCATGCACTGTGCAGCTGCAAGCCGCGCCTCACTTCCCCCCCGTCCCCCCCTTGCCCCCCCCTGCACCCCTCTCAGAGCGCGGTGCACGCGCCAAGGCACGCCATCCGGCAGCGCGTGCTGCACTCCTTCTTCTCCCCGGGCGCCCTGCCCCGCGCGCTGCTGCACGCGCACTCCGCTCAGGGCGCAGGGAGCGAGGGGACGCGGACCGAGGGGGCAGGGCGCGAGGCTCGAGAGGCGCAAGGCGGGATGCATGGGCAGGAGAGGGAGAGCAGGGGGGGTGGTGGCGAGGGCAGTGGCATGGGCATGAGCATGGGCATGGACGATGGTGGGGGCAGGGGTGAGGGCATGGGCATGGAGGGTGGGATGCATGTGGGCATGGGGATGGGCATGGATGAGGACGATGACAGCATCATTTTCTAATTGCCACACCATGCCACACCATACCATACCATGCCATGTGCGCATGAGAGGCAGCAGGGTGGGCTGGGTAGCGGGCACCTAACCATCCTCCTTGATCTTGCTTGTATCTTCCATGTTGCAGTGATGAAGGTGTATTCCTGTTCTCGATTGCACCCCGTTGCACCGCAAGACGAGCACACCTGGTGCATGTTGGCGAGGTAGAAGCGCTGCCGCCGCATCTTGAGCTCGTAGTCTCCTGGTGGGTGCACAGCGCACGGATGGGGGGGTGTATGGGTGAAGGGGCGGGGAGGAGTAAGGGGCGCAGGATTGGAAGGGAGGGGGGCAGTTGAGGGGGAGTGTTGGTGGCAGGATGGGCATTGGAGACAGGGCAGCTGCGGAGGAGGGGGGAAAGGTGCTACTTTTGTTGGTTGTACAGAGCAACGAGCAACTGTCAGTGCATCTCTGTATTACTGATACATCGTGATTACCCTTGCCTTGCACAACGAGAGGCAGGGTGATGAAGGGAAGAAGAAAGCAATTGCGCAACGGAAATGATTGACAGACAGTGGGGCAGAGGACAGTGGCAGGAGGTGCAGATGGGAAGAGAGGTGTGCAGGGGTAGTGAGGGGTGGCATGCGGTGTAATGAAGCATTACCAGCATACACCATGGCGTCCTGCAGGCGTGCCTTCTCCTTGCACAGCTTGCTCACCTGCATGCATCCATGCACCATGCCATGCCATACCATGCCATGCCAATCCACGGGCACGTAAAAAACTGAGGGAAAGCAAGCAGCAGGCATCAGAACCACTTTCCATCTTCACCCTCCCAACCCCTGTCATCCCATCTCCTCTCCCTACCCCCTGCCATTTCCACCCTCTCCCATCCGTATCTCCTCTCCCTACCTATTCCCTTCCCCCTCCCGCCTCCCCTCTCTCCCCCCATCTCACCACGCCTCTGGCACGTGCCACCTCTGCCCGCACCTCCTCCAGCCGCCTCCTCCGCCTCCTCTCCTCCGCCCCACCCGTCCCCCACGCCCCCCCCTGCCCGCCACCCCCCTGCCCCACCCCTTTTTGCCCTGCGCCCCCTCCCGCCCCCTTGCTGCTGCCGCCACTGCTGCTGCTGCCAGTGGTGGGCGAAGGGGGTGGGGTAGAGAGGCATGGGGGGGACGAGGACTAAGAGGATGGGGCGGGATGAGAGGAGGGAGTGGGGTGGGAGGACGAAGGGGGAGGAGGGGGCTGCGGGTTTGAGAGGAAAAGAGGTAGGATGAGAGGAGGGAGTGTGCAATGTGTATGCAGATGAACATGTACCCACATGCAATCATACACACATGCACACACACTTTCACACCACGCCAAACTCCACTCTTGAACTTCCCTCACCTCCCTGACACCCACCTACCCCTTTCCACCCATCTCCCAGCGCTCTCCGCGGGTCGCGTGCCACTCTCACCCGTGCGTGCACCACTGCTCTCTTCCCAGCCTCGCTCTTCCCCACGCCCTGTATCCCACTCGCCCCACGCCCCACGCCCCACGCCGTTCATCCTCACCTCCCATACAACTGCCCTTCACTTTCTTGACGCTTAACCCACCTCCCCAGCGCCCAGCGCCCAGCGCCCTCCCCCACTCCCGCCCTCCCGGTGACTGACCTGCCCAGCGCCCTCCCCCACTCCCGCCCTCCCGGTGACTGACCTGCCCAGCGCCCTCCCCCACTCCCGCCCTCCCGGTGACTGACCTGCCCAGCGCCCTCCCCCACTCCCGCCCTCCCGGTGACTGACCTGCCCAGCGCCCTCCCCCACTCCCGCCCTCCCGGTGACTGACCTGCCCAGCGCCCTCCCCCACTCCCGCCCTCCCGGTGACTGACCTGCCCAGCGCCCTCCCCCACTCCCGCCCTCCCGGTGACTGACCTGCCCAGCGCCCTCCCCCACTCCCGCCCTCCCGGTGACTGACCTGCCCAGCGCCCTCCCCCACTCCCGCCCTCCCGGTGACTGACCTGCCCAGCGCCCTCCCCCTGGCGCTCCACCAGGCCTCGTCCACTATCGCTGCCATGTCGCGCTGCTCCGCCTCCCCCGCCCTGTTGGGCATGACGGGCGGCGGTGAAGGCAGGTGGATGAGAACGGGGGTGAAAGAGATGGGGAGAAAGGGGACAGGCACGAGAATACAGTCGAGGAAGGGGAGTGGTAGGGGAGAGAGAGAGAAAAAGACGTCACCCCATGATGTTCATCGAACCACATGACATCACATCACATACATGACATGACAAGACACCACATCACATCACGCCATGCATGCACGACATGACATGGCATGCTGGCACGCACAGGTCATGCACGTGTTTGAGCTCCCTGATGTTGCGCCGGTAGATGGCGTCTGTGGGGGGGGCAGTGGGCGGCGCAAGACGGGAGAAAAAAGGGGAATGGTGGGTGGTGGTGGGAGGGAGCGATGCCCGACGCCGATGCAGGAAAAAGCTGGAGAAACCCTTAGACAAATGAGCAAGCTGAGACTGTGACACGCCAGAGTCAGGAATGCGAGAGGCACTGTGCATGCGCATGAAGGCACCTCAGGCAAGCAGCAGCAGCAGCAGGGGCAGAGCACCAGGCGGAGCTCTCTCCCTCGGGAAGGCAGGGCCAGCAGCAGCAGGGGCTCACCTGGCGTGTCGTTGGAAGGTCCATGGTCCCCCCCAATGACGGCAGCATCCAGGTCGTTGAGGTCACACGGCGAGTACAAACCCAACCCCTCCAACGCCACCGCCCGGGACGGCCCCTGTATAGCCACTCACACGCCATGGGGAATAAAGGGAAGGATGACGCATACGAGGTAGATGATTTCGAGTTGAGTGGACTCGGCAAAAGGAGTGAAACACGGAATAGCTGAGGATTTATGCTCGAAGCATGCTGTGCTGCCTCCCCTCACTCATCCATCCCCCTAGCCTCACCTCCTCACCTCATTTCTCGGCTCGCATACCACTCATTTCCCCTCGCTATGCCCACCACCCACCTCATCATACTGCTGTCGCTTCCACACTTGTGCGGCAGCACCGACCCCTCCTGCGCCTAAAGAGGCCGTTCATTCTCCCCTATCGCCCCCCACCTCTCGCATCGCATCCAGACACCTCCCTGTGTCCAGCGCCCACCACACACCTCGTCAAACTGGCGTCACTTCCACACCTCGTGCTGCAGCGCCACCTCCTCCTGCGCCTCCAGCAGCGGCTCCACCCCCGCCACCATCGCCAGTGATCCCGGGCCTGTTGTGGGTGACGCGGGATGCACGGAGAGGGTAGCAACAGCGCTGCAATCCCAAAGCACAAGGAAAAGACACTAGCCCAGGGAAGTGGATCAAGATCGGGGACTACTGGATGGTTACGGGAGTCGGGCTGTCCTAGAGGGCGTGATCTACACGCGCGGGGGAGAGGAAGGCGGCGATGGCGACGGCATGGGCGGCCATGGCGTCCAGCTGCGCATTCACCTGCCGGCGGAGGAAATCAAGGAAAACTGCTGCGCGGAGTGAAGACTAGGCAAGACGCCAGTTGCAACGAGACACGCGCGACCACGAGCTCACGCGGATTCTCATCGGCGCGGCGGTGCTGCTCGACTGACGCGGATCGTCACCCGTCGCGGTTTGAGCGAGTATAACAAGCGTTGACATCTCAACAGGCGTGCGAAACACACCTGCGCGTTGAGCGCGGGAAATCGATCGCGCAGTAGCTGCTGATGCGCGTCCTCGGCGGACCTGAGCGCCGCTGCGCTCGTCTCCTTCTTGCGCGACGCGGCCGTTACGGCTTCCCGCAGCATCTGCTCTTGCTGCCGCAGCTGCTTCGTCCGCCGCTCGATCGACGGCAGCAACACCTCGGGATTGTCCATTTTGGAGACAAAGAACCGTGCAACAGAAATCGTCACATAGACGTAAGATTCTCGATGAGAAGGAAACGAGGGAACTGGCGCATCAAATCGTCACTCCGGTTGTAACGGGTGCTTCTGAAGAAGCGCGCCGCGGGCAGTGGCAAGGCGATCAGGGAGGCGGGTGACTAACCAGTGCACAGTGAGCCACATGGGTGGGGGAGCAACAAGGAGTTGTGCGTCGGTACAGGCTGAACGAAAACCGGCGTCAAGCGAGCGGAGGTGAGTCACTAGGTCGGAAACAGTCGCAAACGAGCCTAGGTCGGGAAACACGAACGGCATGAGGAGGCGACTGAGGGAGGCGGAGGAGGGGGTGGAATAGCGAGCCACAATAGCATCCCAAACCCCCTGGGCTGTCTCCACCTGGTCAAAGTGAGCGGCCTCAGTCGGGGGGAGAAGCTCCGATAGCGTGAGGGCGGCGGCCGCGTCACGAGAGAGCCACACGTCCCGAGCCAGGACCCGACGGTCGTAGTCCGCCTGGGCCGTAGGAGTGGGCTCCGGGGCGGTCGGCAGGGCGGCGGGGGACGGGGGTGCCGCGAGAGCACCCGACGCGTGGGCCCACAGAGTGGCGCCGTCCTGACGCTGGCTGGTGAGGAAACGTGTGGTCTGGCGCTGCCAGGTACTGAACTCGATCGGGCGTCCCTCAGCATCGAAACGGAGGCGACGGGCCTCCATAGCGGAGCCCATGCTAGAGGCGACTAGAGCACGGCGGAGGCGAAGCTAAGAACGAGGAGGAAAACTACGGAGGGCTAGGGACGCCAGCGGGGAAAACGACGAGAGACAGTCGGCGAGAAAATAGTCGTGGGGCGGGGCTCTAACCGAACCTAGGTGGCGCTACCAGAGGGAAGAGCGGCTGCCAGCCGCTGAGCCGGGAGCCAAGTGCAGTAGGAATGGCGTGGGACCGGTGCACAGGTGAAGGGGAGAGAGATGCAGTAAGCGCACAGAGTGATGCGGTAAGGGCACGCAGGTGTGCGGGGAGTGCACGCAGGTGTGCGGGAAGCGCACACAGAGTGATGCGGTAATTGCACGCAGGTGTGCGGTAAGCGCACGCAGGTGTGCGGTAAGCACACGCTGGTGTGCGGGAAGCGTTGACGGAGGAGGGCGCGCGACAGGCGGAGGGGAGGGCACGCGACGATCTAAGGAGGGCGCGCGACGGTTGAGGAGGGCGCGCGACGATGAGGGAGGGCGCGCGGCGGTCTAAGGAGGGCGCACGACGGTTTTGGAGGGCGCACAACGGTAGGGGAGGGCGCGCGGAGGTCTAAGGAGGGCGCGCGACAGGCTGGACAGCGCGGGAGGGCGCGGGCTAGGCGCGAGGAGGGCGCGGAGGGCGCGGAGGGCGCGGAGGGCGCGGTGGGCGCGAGAGCGCGGAGGGCGTGTAGGGCGTGGAGGCTAGTTAAAAAAAAAACGAACGAGGATCTAACCTACTCGTGATACCATCTCAGAATAGGAATGCAACGGAATGGATGAAACTAGGAAGTGTGGAAGTACAAATATGCAACCCTAACAACTGTACTCCCTATTGTGCTACTCACTGTAGCCTACAAGCATAGAATTACATTTGACAATTTCTACCAAGTTATCCGCGGGGGGCATTTCGAAGGTGTGTTTGGGAGGGAAAAATGGGGGGTATACGAACCCCCCTTTGTTAAGCTGCAGGCTTGTTCAAGGGTTCCCCTCTGAACAGCAATGCGTCGGCTGTGCCACCGCTGTGCTTTGAGGGGGTGTTACATTGCGCGCTGGTCCATTTACAAGGAAATGGACCAGCGAATGCAAGAGGGCACCATTTTAGAAGGATCACTTCCAAAAGTGGTCCCGCTTGGTACCGGGGATCATTTGCGGCGGACCAGCTATGCACAGTGCATTGCAGCTTCGAAAACGAAGTGTTGACGAAAACAAAAGTGTACCTGGTCACGCTCGAACAACATGTCGCAGACAGCAGATACTTTTGGCGAAAAAATCAAAACGCAATTTTCGCATGCGATTCCCATCGCCTTGGGTCGCTCTGGAAATGGTCCTGTGTGTCGAGCATCGTTTTCGTACGTGCGCCTCGAACTGTACATGCTGGTCCGTGGGCGGGTGCAAGTCGGGTCCACACCTGGGCCGTTCGCTGGTCCATGCTGGTCCGCCCTGGTCCATGCAAATGCCCCTGGGCCGCAGCGGCCCAGCACGGCCCAGCGTAGGTCTTGCGCACATGGCACACCCCCTGAAAAACGCGGCATGACGATGGCATGGCTAGGGGATGGCAGTTTGCCTGGGGACGAAGTTTCGTCCCCGCTTCCAGATACCGTCGAAGTGTTAGATTTGGTGGAGAAAAGTGGGCGTTCGCCAGACGCCCACTTTGTTTGTTGGTTTGGACGGTAGGTGAGGCTCGGCACATTTTTCACGGGCTGACCAAGCTGACGGAGGTTAACGAACTCTAACTGACGGGATCAGGAAGGCGAGACCCACCTTCATGATCCCGTCGTTATCCCGTGGTTTTTGGATATAATGGTGCTGGCGAACAGCCCCTCCATGCTGTTCAATTGGGTTCCTCCTCACTCTTCGCCCACTATCGGTTTGAAACGTTACAGACCGAGCACAAACGTGACACATTACAGAAAGGAAATAGACCGACTCGCGAGCATGTTCGCCAGCTATTCGTCGAGCTTTGGTTTCCAGCTGAAGCTGTCGCGAATACGAAGCAACTTCGCACCACGCACCCGCGTTCTGCACAACCGCCGAACCAGTTACGAAACCAGTTCCCATACCAAGCCAGAAAGCTTCCGCAACTGTGAAGATCGCTCTCCCTGCAGCGTCCGCGGCACCCTCAAACTTATCCCGCCCGCCGTGTTGGCGGAAACGTTTTCCCCACCACCGAGAATTTTCTTCCGAGCCATTCGCGCTTTCCAGACTAGGGTTCCCTCCCTGACCCATACCGAAAACGAAGCACCAACATATGGCATGCTCCAAACCAGATTTCCTTCCACGGCAGCTTTCTTCCCCGAAACCGCCACAGAGTCTCCCCGCCCGCGTCAGAACCACCTAGAGAGCTCCATTCCATTCCTACAAACAGGTTTGATTGGCCTTGGGAAATCCGTTTTTTAAGTTGCGTAGCAACCCCTTAACATTTGGTACACCCTGTTTCGCGCTACACTGTCATTGGCTTTACTAACTGATCGGATGTACACACATCAATGCGTCCAGGATGGTCCATGCACATACGATATAAGCACGATTTAGAAAGCTTGCTTTCTTGCATGTAGCAATTGGCATCGTCTCATTTCAAATGGGTTTAGTACAATTGAAATCGATAGTGATATTACAAAGATATGCCTCTATGTTCCTGCGGCTATCCTGTTTCCGAGGGGGGGGGGGGGGGGGGGCGGGAAAATCGGCTAAACCGTTTGAAAATGAGAGACGTGGGTGGAGGGAAATGACCCCAGCCCACGTTTTGTACTCCAAAACGGGCGTTTAGTGCGGCTCGACGCTGCCAAATCCTACATTACAAGCAGCTTCGCTTTCAAAATACATAATTTTGAAAAGCGTTACAGCCTTTAAAAATATACATTTTGCCCGCACTCAACCGTACCCAAAAGCAAGTTGTTTTCTGAAAACCGTTGTGTACCGTTCACCAGGAGTGCATTTGCCTGTCACCACAAGCAGTTCGGCTGTAAGCACGAGACCGCGACTTTCCAAGCAACAGTACACACTGTAGCCTGTGAATCTCATTGCCAGTGTAGCGCGAAAGAGGGTGTAGCACCCTTTTCGGTGCACATTTTTTGTCATTTTCCCAACGTCTGAAGCACTCTCTTGCACGCTATGAGAACAAGTGCTTCAAATGTGTCGAGATGACTGCACTGCTACACAAGAGTCTCCAAAAAAGGTGAAACCAAATGAGACCAATTATTCCATAATCGTCAATAAATACGACGAATGGAAACAATTGGTAGCCTTGCCATATTTTACTGCACATGACATCACACACTATTGACGAGACAACAAATTCGACATGGATGCAAATCACGTATTTGCATCTACCGTATCGAACATGTGCAAAAACGACAACAGTCAACGATAACAACAAATGTCATAAAGTGAATGGTAAAATGCATCAGTGCTACAATAGCGATGGATCGGTATGCTAAGGCAAGCAACGCTGCCCCAACAACGATCCCCACCTCAATTGCAGAACCAACACACTTTAACATGACACCTTACAACAAACACGAACGAGCACACGCGACATTGTACTGGTACAACGACGACAACGCATAACAATTACGAGTGTCTTGGGGAGAATGCTAAAATGCATCAATGATGCAACACAGGTTGGTCTGGCACGCTAAGGCTATTGCCCCACCGGCGATCACAACCTGAGTTGCATACACGAGGCACTCCAGCACACGCCTTGAAACAGACACAGACAATACAAACAACACGATTGCACATACATATCTCACACAGGCTCACACACACACACATACACACTGACACGCACGCAAACAAGCACAGATACATACGGATAGTCAACACACAACCATCATGAAATTCAGCTATTAATAAATCATCACTACCAATCACCCCTTACCCTCCCTACACCCCTCCCTCCCTCCCTCCCTCCCTCCCTCCCTCCCTCCCTCCCTCCCTCCCTCCCTCCCTCCCTCCCTCCCTCCCTCCTTCCCTCAATCCATCCCTCCCTCCCTCATCTCCCTCTCCCTCATCTCCCTCCCATTGCCTCCCTCATCTCCCTTCTCCGCCAAGCGTAATAAAAGAATGCAGCTCACCCGCCCTGCACAAGGTAAAAACAGAGAATGCAACACACGCCCTGCACAAGAAAGCAAAAAAAGGGGATGTTCACACACTGTGCACAAGAAAGCAATAAACATAGCATGCAACTCATGTGCCCTGCGAGGAGGCTAAGCAGGAAACAACTCACCCACACTGCATAAGAAAGCAAAAACAAAGAGCTTACACCTCATAGCATTGCACAAGAAGACAAAAGCAGAGAATACAGCTCACACATGCACTAGAAACGAAATAAGCACAATAGAAAGAGAATGCAGCTCTCATTATGCCATCATGATGCGATCATTTGCAGCCACCCTCGTGTTCAACTTCACACTCACGTACACACTTGCTCTTGTACTCGATCTCGCACCCACTCACACACGCAAAAACTTAGACACTCATATAAACACGCAAAAAAACCTACACGCTCATTTTGGCACTTACCTTCGCACTCATAAGCGTTGTCACTCACGCTTGCTTGCACTAACCACCACTTTTGCAGTCACATTCACTCTCGCACTTGCTCTCACGCTTGCTCTCGTTCTCATTCTCACGCTCGCGCTCACCCAAGCACTCATCCTTGCACTTGCTCTCACATTCACCCCCGTAGACACACTTCCACGCACCCTTGCACTCACCCTCAGTGCATGCGCACACTCACTCTTGCACTCACACCCGCCTTTGCACCCGGATTCAAAACCGCACTCGCACCCTCGCACTCTCACAACCACTCACGTCACACATTCAATTTCAGCCGTTCTTAGACACACTAACAGAAACACACACACCCGGTCGCACTCACCATCAAACTCGCGCTTGCGCTCACTCTCGAACTCACTCAAACGCTTTCACAAAAAACACACACACAGAGGCGCCCGCACCATCAAACTCAACTCACACTCACACCCACACTCACGCTCACACTTGCCTTCGCACTCACACTCACTCTCCAACTTGCCCTCGCACACACCATCTCACACACCCTCGCACTCGCACCCGCGATCACGCTTGCGCTCAACATCGCAGTCTCCATCGCACATACTCTCGCACTCACTCTCACGCGCGCCCTCATGCACGCGCTCACGCGCTCACTCACGCGCTCTCTCACGCGCTCTCTCACGCGCACTCTCACGTGCACTCACACGCACTCACGCTCACGCGCTCTCTCACGCGCACTCTCTCTCGTTCCCTCTCACGCGCACTCTCATGCGCACTCTCACGCGCTCTCTCACACGCACTCTCACGCGAACTCTCACGCGCACTATCACTCACTCTCTCACTCACACTCTCACTCACTCTCTCACACGCTCTCTCACACGCAATCTCACACACTCTCTCACGCGCACTCTCATGCGCTCTCTCGCGCGCTCTCTCACGCGCTCTCTCACGCGCTCTCTCACGCGCTCTCTCACAAGATCTCTCGCGCGCACTCTCACGCACTCTCTCACGCGCACTCTCATGCAAAATCTCGCGCGCACTCTCACGCGCACTCTCATGCAAAATCTCGCGCGCACTCTCACGCGCACTCTCACGCGCTCTCTCACGAGATCTCTCGCGCGCACTCTCACGCACTCTCTCACGCGCACTCTCATGCGAAATCTCGCGCGCACTCTCACGCGCACTCTCACGAGATCTCTCGCGCACACTCTCACGCACTCTCTCACGCGCACTCTCACGCACTCTCACACGCACTCACACGCACTCACGCGCTCTCTCACGCGCAATCTCTCTCGTTCTCTCTCACGTGCACACTTACGTGCACTCTCACGCGCACTCTCACGCGCACTCTCACGCGCTCTCTTACGCGCACTCTCACGCGCACTCTCACGCGCACTCTCCTCACTCTCTCACGCGCACTCTCACTCACTCTCTCAGTCACTCTCTCACTCACTCTCTCACGCGCTCTCTCATGCGCTCTCTCACACGCAATCTCACACGCTCTCTCACGCGCACTCTCACGCGCACTCTCACGCGCACTCTCACGCGCTCTCTCACGCGCTCTCTCACGCGCTCCCTTACGCGCTCTCTCACGCGCACTATCAACTGGCACACAAGACTTACGAGAGCAAAAAAAAAAGAGGAAATTTCAGAGGGGGGAGGGACCAGGAACGCACCTGATAATTACGGCGCCTCAGAAAACAACCCGCGCTGGCGCACCAACCCGCGCTCGCGCACCAACTCGCGGTTGCGCTCGTGCACCAACTCGCCGGAGGCGACCGCGGGGAGGAGGGAGAGGCGACGGCGCGGAGGAGGGAGAGGCGACGTTAGGGAGGAGGAAGAGGCGACGGCGGGAAGGATGGAGAGGCGACGGCGGGGAGGAGGGAGAGGCGACGGCGGGGAGGAGGGAGAGGCGACGGCGGGGAGGAGGGAGAGGCGACGGCGGGGAGGAGGGAGAGGCGACGGCGGGAAGGAGGGAGAGGCGACGGCGGGGAGGAGGGAGAGGCGACGGCGGGGAGGAGGGAGAGGCGACGGCGGGGAGGAGGGAGAGGCGACGGCGGGGAGGAGGGAGCAGCGACGGCGGGAGGGAGGGAGCGGCGACGGCGGATGGGAAGGAGAGGCGACGGCGGGTGGGAGGGAGAGGGGATGGCGCGGTGGGAGGGAGAGGAGATGGCGGGGTAGGGGGAAGCGGCCATGGAAACGTGGAGGGAGAGGCGATGACGAGCTGGGTGGGTGGGAGGGAGAGAGAAGCGATGATGGGCTGGGAAGGTGGGAGAGAGAGGCAACAGGTGGGTGGGAGAGGAGAGGCGATGACGAGGTGGGAGGGATTGGGTTGGTTTGGGGAACTGCCAAGCGGTTGGGGCAGTAACTACAGTAACGACGTGTTGCGACCCAAAGAGATTGGGTTGGGTCGGCTCGACCTGGTCGGCTAAACCCAACCCGACCAGATCTTCGGAAACGCGACTCGGGAAATCACGGAATTTCCCGTCGATTTCCGTGCATCCTCGAGGGACCAGGAAAGCAGTTGCCGGGCGGGGGGATGGTGAGCTGGAAAATTCGCTTCGATATTACAGGGTATCATTCTGTGCGGCGAATTTGAGGCGACATTTGCGCGAGAACTCTGAAGTTCGCAGACTATGGTAACCTTCACCGGCTCGATTGGGTTGGGTCTGGTTGGCCTGGTTGAGCCGACCTGGTCGACCCAGGTCAGGCAGACCCAACCGGGTCTGGTTGGCTCGACCTGGTCGGCTAGACCCGCGATGCAGCCTTCCTAGAAGTGATGGGTCGGGGGGTGGTCGACCCAATCCGTGTGGGTCGCAACACGTCGTAACTAAATTTGAGGAAATGGGGTTGTTGTGCAACTGCGTGAAAAAAACTAGGCACGAAACACTTGGGCCGATCTGAAAACATGAAAGAACTATGGCACTTGAAAACAAAAACAGACTCGTGCCACGTGAAAATGCATGCATCATCACGTGACACAGCATGCTTGCTGAAACATTTGAGTGAGCTGTAAAACAACTCAATATGAACCACACTTTTGCTAGCAAGAAGCTCATAATGTTACAAACTATCATATTTAAGGATATAGAACATCATTGCTACTATAAAGAGAACAATCAACGCGTCTATAACTTCGCCTGTTAGTAAACAATAAAATCAAACAAGCCACATTAAAATTACTAAGTTGCATCATTAACAACCAACGAGCTTGCCAAATTCATTAAATGAGGGAAAACGTGAACTTCGTGCTCTATGCACACCATTGCAATTCGTCTTTTTTTTGTCAACTAAAGATGTAACACCTACGCAACCCTTCCGACGTTAACGTCGAGTTTTGTCTGAATCTCCCATCAATAGCTTACCCGCACATTTTTCCGTCCAAGTCTATTGACGTCTCAAAAACTACATTTTCACACCAATCTGTCTGCTTACGTTCTTCGGTTTTCCGCATTGCGCGCATCCGCGGTGTCGCGTACCCCAACAGCGAATGGCGACGTCGATGGACGTCCTCGTCGCGCGCCTCGAAGCGGCCGTCGCCCGCCTCGAGGCCTCGCTGCCCTCCCAATCCTCCACCGCCACGTCAGCTCCCGCCGCGTCCGCGTCTGCAGCGGCCAGCGATCTCTGTGCAAGCCTTCGACGCGATCCTAACGGCGAATCTGCAAAAGGTGACGGCGGCCGTTGAGAAGGTCGGCACCGCGGAAGTGACTGCAGCGACCAAGGCGCTGGCGGAAGCGTTCGAGGCGGAGAAGAAAATCGTCGCGGCCATCGCGGCCTGCAAGGTGGGGGCTTTGCTTTGGTTGTTCCGTCGTTCGGTGCCTGTGTCTGTTTCGCGCGGCGCGCGTCTGCATTCGTGCATGATCTCCATGGATCTGGACCGGATCCGGAGGACGATAGGAATTTGACACTCGTGGAAATATGCTGGCCTTCCGTCCCGTGCCCAGAACTGAGAGCAGTGCTTCCGCAAATGACTCTCATCACCGGTCTCCCCCAGAAGCCCCTTCCAGAAAAAACCGATCATCCCGCATTCCGTTTCCTCCACCACTTCCGGTCAGCATTTTTTACCCTCTATTTTTCCCCCATCATGGGTCCCCCTACCCCACCCCATCTCCCTCATTCTTTCTCCTTCTCACCCCTACCTCCCCCATTCTGCCGCTCGCGCCATCCAGAAGCCCGACACGTCAGCGCTGCCGAAGCTGCTGTAGCTGCTGGGAGCGGCGATGGCGGCGGCGGGGAAGCTGACGGAGGGGAAGCGCACGGACGCGTACAACCCCGTGAAGGCCGTCGCCGAGAGCGTCGCCGCGCTCACGTGGGTCGCTTATTCCGGCAAGGACTGCGGTACGAAGGAGGAGGGTTGACGCCTAGGGTATGGGGGCGCGCGGAAAGGGGGAAGAGGGACGAGGGGGGAATGCGCTATGGGCGGAGGGCAAAACTGCGGTACGGGGGCGGTGTTGGTGGGTGTGTGCGTGGGAGAGAGGGAGGGGGGAGGAAAGGGAGAGGAGTATGGTATGGAGGGAGGGCAAGGACTGTGGTACGGGGAGAGGGAGGAAGGGAGAAGGGGTATGGAGGAAGGAGTGTGGTAGGGGGAAGGGGGGAGAGAAGTCGGCGCACCCTGCTTATGCTCGCCACGTCATGGTGACTCGCCATTCGTTGTGCGCCGATTTTCGCCTGTTGACAGTCAAAGGACATGCGCGCCCACTGCAAGCCCTCATGCTGTTCCGCGTTACCCGCCCCACGAGCTGTTCCCCACGTCCCGCCATCTTGCCTCCTTGGCTCCCGATCCTCACCGACTCCTCCCTCGCGTCTCTTCCTTCCCCTCTGCTTCCATCCCTCCGCCATCTCCCATCCCCCGTCCCCCTTCCGCCCTCCGCCATCCCCCTCCCACTCCGCTTTTTCGCTAACCCCTCTCCGTCTCCTCTCCCGACCACATCTCAACGCTTCTCTCGACCTTCGTCCCTCTTCATTATCGTATCCTTTCCCCTCCTTTTCTCCCTCCCCCTCCTCCTCCCCTCCCCCCTCCCACCCTTGCTCCCCGTCCCCCCGTCCCCCAGATCCTCTCCACCTACCGCAACACGGAGGGGGGAGAAGCGCACGTGGAGTGGGCGCGCGCACTAAAGGAGCTGTACACCCAGGGATTAAAGGAGTACATTAAGAAGTTCCACGTCACCGGACCCTCCTGGTCCGCCTCAGGCCTCGACCTCCCTGCCTATCTCTCCTCCGCCCCCTCCGCCGCCCCAGCTCCCTCCCGCGGAGGTCCCCCGCCACCTCCGCGCGGGGCCCCTCCCCTGCCTCCGCCCCCAGCTGCGTCAGCGGGCGGGGGGGGCGGAGGGGGCGGGGGCGCGGACATGTCGAAAGTGTTTTCCGAGCTCAACAAGGGCGAGGCCGTCACTGCCGGCGAGCTCAACAAGGGCGAGGCCGTCACTGCCGGCGAGCTCAACAAGGGCGAGGCCGTCACTGCCGGCGAGCTCAACAAGGGCGAGGCCGTCACTGCCGGCGAGCTCAACAAGGGCGAGGCCGTCACTGCCGGCGAGCTCAACAAGGGCGAGGCCGTCACTGCCGGCGAGCTCAACAAGGGCGAGGCCGTCACTGCCGGCGAGCTCAACAAGGGCGAGGCCGTCACTGCCGGCGAGCTCAACAAGGGCGAGGCCGTCACTGCCGGCGAGCTCAACAAGGGCGAGGCCGTCACTGCCGGCGAGCTCAACAAGGGCGAGGCCGTCACTGCCGGCGAGCTCAACAAGGGCGAGGCCGTCACTGCCGGCGAGCTCAACAAGGGCGAGGCCGTCACTGCCGGCGAGCTCAACAAGGGCGAGGCCGTCACTGCCGGCGAGCTCAACAAGGGCGAGGCCGTCACTGCCGGCGAGCTCAACAAGGGCGAGGCCGTCACTGCCGGCGAGCTCAACAAGGGCGAGGCCGTCACTGCCGGCGAGCTCAACAAGGGCGAGGCCGTCACTGCCGGCGAGCTCAACAAGGGCGAGGCCGTCACTATCGGCGAGCTCAACAAGGCCCTCTTCTCATGCCCCCTGTCCCCCATGCCATGGCACCTATGCATGTGCCACCAGGCAAGGTGAACAACATCACGCTAGACAAGTGCACCAAGACTGCTGTCGTCTTCCAGGTGAGGCTCAGGTGGGCTCAGGTGGGCTTCAGGTGGGGCTCAGATGGGCTTCAGGTGGGGCTCAGGTGGGCTTCAGGTGGGGCTCAGGTGGGTTTAGATGGGCTTCAGGTGGGGCTCAGATGGGCTTCAGGTGGGGCTCAGGTGGGCTTCAGGTGGGGCTCAGGTGGGCTTCAGATGGGGCTCAGGTGGGCTTCAGATGGGGCTCAGGTGGGCTCAGGCAGTGCCCAGATGGGCTTAGGTGAGCTGTGATGGTCTCATGTAAGGCTCAGATGGGCTTAGGTGCGGCCACTGGTGTTACTGGAGGCCTCTTCCAGTGATCAGTTGGTGCGCGATCCTTTGTATGGCAGCTTCTGCTTGGCTAATGCTTCTCCCGTTGAATCAACCCTCATGTGTGCTGGCAGCGCGTGACCTGGTCACTTGCGGTGGCCTGGCAGCGTGTGACCTGGTCACTTGCGGTGGCCTGTGGATACAGTGTCACATTTCCACCTTTGTTCCACCCTTCCCTGCTGCCTCTATCGCTCGTCCCTCGCCCCCATCACACACATCTTTCCCCTCCCTGATCCCCCACCAGGATGTGCTAGCTGCGTGTGAGGTGGTGAACTGCAGTGGCGTGGAGGTGCAGTGCCAGGGCTCTGCCTGCCACTCATCTCCCAGCCTCCTCCCTCCTTCCTCCCTCCCTCCGTCTTCCCCCCCCTATCACCTATCAGGACGTGTTGGCAGCGTGTGAGGCGGTGAACTGCAGCGGCGTGGAGATCCACTGCCAGGGCTCTGCCTTGGTGCTCTTCCTGCCCATATCACTCATCTCCCACCCAGCCTCCTCCCTCCCTCGCTCCCTCGCCCCACCCCCATCCCCATCAGGACGTGCTGGCAGCGTGTGAGGTGGTGAAATGCAGCGGAGTGGAGATTCAGTGCCAGGGCACAGCGCCCACGCTGGCAGTGGACAACACGAGCGGCTGCCAGCTGTACCTGGCTGGCACAGCGCTGGCAGCCGCCATCACCACCGCCAAGTCGTCCGAGATCAACGTGCTCGTGCCCGGCCCCGATGCTGAGACTCCCTGGGTAGGCAGGGATGGGGCGGACAAGTGGGTAGGGGTGGTGAGGGACATGGGTAGGGGTGGTGAGGGACATGGGTAGGGGTGGTGAGGGACATGGTAATTAAGTTCAAGATTCTTGAAGTCGCCAAAAACAAGGTTACCTACTTGTTTTGCGAAAATTCTCGCGACCCAAGGCAATCGTCCTGTGACAACGGAACCCGAGTGCCCAAAACCAGAACTGACGCGATGATCGCCAACCATTTGTACTGTTCACCACTCACATAACTTGCTTACCAAGTAGTACTCATAGGCTAGGAGACTCCAAGGCAAAAACTAGCGCTAGTTGGCAAAAGCGAGTCGTTGATAGGCTTTTTTTCTTGTGCGGAAGGAAATATAAGTCCACCTCAACCATCTTAGTCAGTGCACGCTCGGATCTCTCCCTCACGTCACCGGTCTCGTGTTACAACCCGTACACCCACGGCACTTACGTTAGTAAACGAGATTCGCGTTACTCGAGTCTTGCATTCAAGCTCGCGTCACACACGCAGGATCTTGTCACACTTGCTGCCATTCAGCCTCGTGTCACGATCATACCGTTTTTGGCACGGGTCGCTCACGCGAATGCCGTACTGGTTCGCGTAATGCACTCAGCCGTTAGTCGCACATGTTCCTCCGTCGGCCGCTCTTGCCCACGTCAGACCGCTTTCCTCGCTGCCGGCGCTTTCCGTCATTACCCTCCCCGACCCTCTGGTCGCATATGTTCCCCTAGTTGCCCGCGCTCTCCCACGTTAACCACACATCCCCTTGTCGCAATTGCTAGCAGTAAACATACCGCGCTTCAGATCGTCACCTGCGCTCCCCTCATCACCCTCGTCGATCCAAACTAATCCTCGCCGCCCTCACCTCCCTTGGTCACCGACATTCCCTCTCGTCGCTCACGCTTCCCCTCATCACCCGTGCCGACCCTCGCCGCCCTCGCCTCCCCTCGTCGCCCGCGCGTCCCGTCGTCGGGCTTGCCTCTCAGTCACTCGCGCTTCCCCTCGTCATCCGCGTTTCCATCCGCTCTTCCCCTCTCCCCATCTCACCATCTCCAGCCCATCCTTCCTCCCTCATTCCTTCCGAAGGGGTGGGACAGATGGGGAGGGACAGATGGGGAGGAACAGATGGGGAGGAACAGATGGGGAGGAACAGATGGGGAGGAACAGATGGGGAGGAACAGAGGTGGTCCCTTCCGCCACCACAATCGAACAGCGTTTTGATTCCCTCTCTGCTCCCCACCATCCTCCCCCCAACTCTCTCCCCGGCATCTATTTAGGTTCCCCCCATCCTATCCTCTCTTACCTTGTATCCCCTGCCCTGCTTCCCCCCATCCCCTTCCCTGCTTCCCCCCATCCCCTTCCCTGCTTCCGGCTGGGTCGGGTCGGGTTTTGACCCCATTATGGACTCGACCCAGTTTCGGGTACCACGACCTATCTCGGATCGAGTATCTGGCCCGACCCGAGGGTTTCCTCTCGACATTGTTATCCAGCTCACAATAGCGCTTGCTTGTTTTCCCAGCGACTAGCATTTCGATCTGTATTAAGTTAGGTTAACTAGCTCGTGACGCAAGCAGCCACCCACCAAGCAACATTGGCGCGCTAATCTACCCTATAACCTACGATAACGTTTAGTTAGTACTCAGCCAATCTTCTTTTTATAAGTTATTCGCACTTCGCGCCAACCATCCCAGGGTTTCCTTTAAATCCGAAATTTACAGATCGCGCTCGCACCCTAGGCGCGCGCATTGCATGCCCGCGTTTTAAGGCATCTCGGCACGTCGTGCAGGCGCAGGTCGCTAGAGTCGCGCACCTGCTGAAGGCTTTGGGAAACGTCATTCGCCAAGGTCCCGCGATGAATCCGCGATAAGGAGTTCAACGGAGGCGACAATGGAAGGACGTTCATTAAATAATATTACACATACTGCCAATCAATGCAACACTTCACAGTATTAAAGAGAACCTCTAACCCTGCCTATGGGAGTCGTCTCGACCCGACCCAACCCGACCCGGGGGCGGGTCAAGCCTGACCCGGCACCCGATACCCGGGTCGGGCCAGAGATCTCAAAAGTTCCGACCCGATATTCGACCCGGAACCCGACTGGCCCGCCAAAGTCGGGTCGAGCGATTTGATACCTAGCAGCTACGCTTGATAATTGGAGGGGTTGCTAGAGGAGAAGGAGAACGAGGGAATAGGATGTGAAGATGAGGCGATAGGAGATGACGTGGAGCAACCAGCAGATGGAGTTGTTTGGGCATGGGATTTACAGGAGAAGAAGGTCAAAGAAGATGCAGCACATATGGAGGACCAAGAAGCAGGAAGTGAAAAGAGGGTTGTTGAGGAAGAGAATCAGAGTGTGGAGTTTGGGGACAGCAATGAAAGGTCAGGAAAGAATGGTGAGCATGACCCATGGAAGCTGATTGAGAATGACGCTAGTAGTGATGCTGCTAAGGAGAGAGGGGCTGTTGGAGGACAGAGCCCTGGTGATAGGGAAAGGACGAGGACTTGACGAGCTATATGCAGTAACAAAGGAAGTTGGTGGGGCGGAGGCAACTGATGAGGAGTTGGAGCGCGGTATGAGGGTAAAGAAGAGGACCCCCAGATTTGTTTCATTGGTTATGACCCCTTGGAAGGATGTTAAGACCCATCTTTTACTCACTGCAACACCAACGGTGCTGCTATCACATGGGATAAGGGAGAAACATGATCTGCCTAAGGAGCCCGTAACCGTAGAGGTGGCCTTGGCAGGACCACAGAAGGAGCAATAAATGGCTGCAACCAGGTGGAGTTGGATACACTAGCAGAGAGAGGCACTTGGGAGTTGGTGCCTATGCCGGAAGGATTGGCAACGGGTTGAAATGGATATTTAAGATCAAGACAAGGGATATGGGGCAGCTGGAACGTTTTAAGGCAAGGTAGGTGGCAAAAAGGTATACTCAGGTAGAGGGGTTGACTACACCGAGACTTATGCTCCTGTGAGCAAGCTTACAACTGCAAGATCATTCTTAAAGGTGGCAGCAGTAAGGGGCTATTTCTTGGTGGAGTTGGACATAAAGAATGCATTTCTCCATGGGGTAGTGAGGGAGGAGCTGTACATGGATTAGCCAAACAGTTATAGGTGCATATGGTTATGTGTTCCTTATTGGGGGCACTGCCATCATGTGGCAAGCAAAGAAATTGGCGGACATAGCACTGTTAGGTGCTGAAGTGGAGTATATAGCAATGTTCTTTGCGTGCCAAGAGGGAGTGTGGCTGAGGAGCGTGATGAAGGAGTTCGAGATTGCTATCAAGGGGCCTACTATTGTGAATTCGGACAGCAAGTCAGCCATTGACTTTGCTAAAAACGACAAATGACACGGGAGGACTAAGGGCGTGTAACTTTTTCCATTTTTGACCGTCGGGATGGCCCATCGTCCGGACTTTTGTCGGGTTACAGCTTTCGTAAATTGCCGCTTTGTCTCTAATTCGATGAAGGGTTCTGCCGAAGTGAGTAACCCTAAAAAAGTCTGGACGGTGAGCCGTTAGGACGGTCAGAAAGCAAAAAAGTTACACGCCCTAAGCACATTAATGTGAAATACCACTGGGTGCGGGAGCAGCTCGAGATGCAGCAGTTCAAGTTTGAGTTCGTTCCCACTTGGGAGCATGTGACAGACTTCTTGACCAAGGTGCTACCTAGGTCCAGATTTGAGTATTGCAAGGTGAAGGTCGGCATACGCAAGGTGCAAAATTTCGGCAAAACTGTAATACGTTCCGTTTTTATGCTTGTATTTTACGGTTAGATTTCGAAATCTCGGCCGTTTTTTTGTTAGAGAATTTTGTGACCTTTTTTTTCTTCTGAAAATAGTAGAAACTATTCCATTCTTGACCAGGATAGCAAAGAAGCAACACAATGCTAGCAAAGTGTCTAGGTTGCGCTCATTTAACCCTCCTCCTCCCCCTCAAACTCTTCATCCTCCTCCTCGAATTCACTGTTGTACAGTCTCACAAATAGATCCCCTTTGCCAATCTCATGGCTAGTTCATCCAATCGAGGGTCATGATCGGAAACAATAGTTGAAAATATGTGTACAGGCTTGATTTAAAAATTTCAGCCGTAAATAACGCCGTTTTTTGCACCACAATGAAATTACAAGATTTTGGTGTTTTAAACCATTTTAAACGGCCGAAAATTACGATGGCTTTTTACACACCATAATTTCAAAATTTCTGCCGTTTTGTTGCACCTTGAGCATACGCAACTTGCAGGACCTTCAGGGGAGTGTGAAGCAGGCTTAGTCATCACATGAAAGTTGTGCAAAAAAGTCAATTGGAAGAATGTGTTTGACAGGAAGAAATGTGTGAGTCAAACTGAGGAATATTCAACAAGGAACCAATTCGGACTTCATGCGTGTTCGACGAAGGTGTTGAAGCTGTGTGTGCGACTCGGGGTGAAAGGGTTTGTCAAGCATTTGTGACGCGAATTCCCCCGCGAAGGCCTTGTCAAGGACTAGTGAAGGCCCCCCGTGCAGGGCCGGTCAAAGGCCCGGCTCCGCGAACGCGCCGTGAAGCAGAATCCGAGTCTAGGGCCCGTCAGGGTCCTGTGAAGTCCTCGTGAAGGTTCTGTTAAGGTCGCGTCAGCCTCCCGAGAGGCGTTCTCACGACCAACAAACCAGTTCTCTAACCTTGACAAGACAAAATTACTCCAACTGTACCTGGCCTGCTCAAACGGTCCTTTGCGTTAGAACGCGTATAGGAACAAACAAGGTACGTCTAGGGCAAAACTATCGGGTTAACAGGTGGGTTTAGTGGCACGGGTATCGGGTTAACGGGTGGGTTTGGTGCACGTCTTGAAATTTTGAATTTCATGTTAATTTGACGATGTGCGAAAGCCAGCTTTCAATCTACCTCGCCGCGAACATAAACTCAAGTCCTTCCTTTTTTGCGGTTTGCCCTAGCATTTTCCGGCATATCTACACCAAAAACGCAGCGTGAGTTTTTTTGAAGCTAAATGCTACTACACTTGAGCGTACATTCCAACTTAGCATCGAGGCAACTTTGAATGGTCAGCAACGATGAACTTGCCAAAATGCAGCAAGGGATTGCAAATACAGAGTACGCAGAGTGGTATAGCAATAGAAAAAACAGAGGCACCTAAGTCAAGGTCAGCAACACTTGGCACGCACATGGGGCATGCAAGACCAGCTAGAGTGGTGCTCTCACATGTTGTCCACCATTTCGTGGGCATCGCAGTACACACCGTAGGCCGAGCTGCAATCCTCTCCAGCCACCAATCCAGAGAGATTCTAGCCCCATGCTTGCTGCAAGTCCAGCAAGATTTGCACTGGCGACACAAGGTGGGGAGAATGGGGGAGAGGGCGAGAGAAGGAACAAGGAGGAAGTGGGACAGGGAAGGGAGGAAGGGAAATTCAGCTCTCATCGCCTGTTTGGTGCACCCTTCTCCTCCTCCCTCACTCATCAGTCTGTGCCGCACGACTGCGGAATGGACACAAACGATGGTGAAGTACCTAGAAACGGTGATAAGCATTATGCGCGTGGGAGCATGGGCATGCCTTCACGGCCTGAAAATCCAACAGATTGTACATTTCCGCACCCGCCTCCCAAGGCGCGTGGTGTGCGAAGTGGGGGCAGGTATCCATTTCTCGGTCGCAACTGGATATGTTTGTATGCATTTCAAAAGCTTTTTAGCAGAAAAACCCCATAGAAACATTTTGGGTGAAAACCTTATCCACAACGTTGGTCACCGATTCATCCTCTACAAGGACGAACCTTGGGAGGCGGCGAACGGGACATAGCGGACTGGAGAAACGGCGGCAAAAAAGGCCAGAACGATGAGTAAGCTGAGCCGGATGATGCGTCCTGCGCCGTCCGTTGCCATGGTGGCGAGCTAGGAAACGCCAGATGATACTAGTTCTTACTGCTTGTGCGCAACTACTAGTGCAGTGTCAAACGAAACGCGTGAGTATCTGTGGACGGTTAAAGAAAGAAATAGCTAAAAATAGCGCAGACGACGTGTCAAACAAAATCCAAGGAAAGCTAGATTTCAGGAGATGAAACTAGAGGATAAGACTGGCAGGGAGGTGGGTGGGAGTTGAGGAAGACATTTTCTTGCCAAGTTTGCTTCGCAAATATTGCGAGGCTGCGACAAACCAAGATTGCTGACGACGTCCACTTCGCGAGTTGTGATAGATGCGAATTCATCTTTGTCGCGAATTCCATGGTATGGTGGCGTGGCATGCCAGCAGGGCGTGTCAAGCTACCCAAAATCTCGCCAGCTTGCAGGTCAGACGAATCAAGACAGCCCCTGACCCTGTTTGACGAACACAAACGAACCTCTTCATTCGCACTCGCAATAACGGAACTCACTCGACCAAACCCTAGTGACTGACCAATAAGGCA